CGTCCTCAATTACTGAAATATCGGAGTTTTCGTATTTTCAACGTATTGCTTTTCCATACTAAGGTTATTAAGTGCACCGAATTTGGTAAAAATTGATAAATCGGTTACTGAGATATATATTTGTGGGCGTAAGTGGGCGGTGCCACGCCCATTATCCCAAAACTTATAATAATCTAATTTAATGCTAAGAGGTTTGTCCAAGAATCGATTTTTAGAGAATTAGCTTCAGTAGTTAGGTACTGATTTATCGCAGTTTTCGTGTTCCTCTAAATTAACGTTATTTGGGAAGTGGGCGTGGTTATAGCCCGATTTCCAGGATTTTTAGCAGATATGTTAGATATAGCCTAAGCAAGGCTCAAGGCCGAAAGGTCCCTGAAAAAATGTCTTTTGCTTATATCTCGAAAACTATTTTTTTTTATTTAAATGGATTCATATCCTGATTCGGCGACCTCAAATTCATCTAAAAAGTTTATTTTTAGTGTTAAAATAGATCTTAACCCTCTAACAAGTCTGCCCTGAGACGGCCTGTATATAATCAACTTTAATTTCAAAGAAAAATAAAGTTGGGTTTAATTTGGTAAAAGTACCATTAGAAATTGTATCTACTTCCATTTTGGCAGAAGTAACAAGTGTAATACGGCGTTTCGTTTTGTTTTTATTCTCAGTTGAATGTAGGAAGTCAACGTGAAACACAAAAAAATACCTCGCGACCACTTCTATTTTTATACCCGAGCGCACTTGTGCACAAGGGTTTATTAATTTTGTTCACATAACGGTTGTTTGTAACAGCCAAAACGAATCGAGATAGATATAGACAAATGTATACATAAATGATCAGGATGAAAAAAGAAATCGATTAAGCCATGTCTGTCTGTCCGTCCGTCTGTCCGTCTGTCCGTCTGTCCGTGTACACGATAACTCGAGCAAAAATTGAGATATCTCAACGAAATTTGGTATGTAGGTTTCCCTTAATCCAAGGTAGGTTGGTATTGAAAATGGGCGAAATCGGACTTTAACCACGCCCACTTCCCATATAACGGTAATTTCCAGAAATACGAAAACTGCGATATTTTAGTAACTACTGAAGATAATTCACTCAAAATTGATATTTACAATAATTTTTAGACGAAAAATAAGAATATTATAAATTTTTGGAAAATGGGCGTAGCCACGCCCACTTATGGTTACATGTTTATAACTTGGTAACCGCTGCACTAATTTCTTCCAAACTTCGCAAGGTTGTTGGCCTTGGCGCAGCATACTAAACGGCCGAAAATTTAAAAAATCGGACAATAACCACGCCCACATCCCATATAACAGTAATTTTCGGAAATACGAAAACTGCGATATTTTAGTAGCTACTAAAGATTATTCACTCCAAATTAATATTTACAACAATTTTTAGACGAAAACTAAGAGTGTTATAAATTTTTGGAAAATGGGCGTAGCCACACCCACTTATGGTTACATATGTATATCTCGGTAACCGATGCACTAATTTCTTCCAAACTTTGCACAGCTGTTGGCCTTGGTACAGCATAAAAAATCGCCGAAAATTTTTAAAATCGGACGATAACCACGCCCACATCCCATATAACGGTAATTTAGGAAAATACAAAATCTTCGATAAATCAGTAAATATTGAAGCTAATTTATTCAAAATTGATGCTTGCAACAATTCTTTACCAAGAAATACGTTTATGGTAAAATTTTGGAAAATGGGCGTGGCACCGCCCACTTATGATCACATATAAGTATATAGGTAACCGTTCTACCAATTTGTACCAAACTCGGTGTGGTTATTGTGCTTGCCACATATAAGCAAAACGTTGAAAATTATTGAAATCGGACTAAAATTACGGCCGCTTTTCATATGACGGTAAATTTCAGAAATGCTTGAAACTTTAATATTTCGAAATTTAAGGACGCTAATTTACTCAAAATTGATACACCCCGGCTTACCATGTAGCGGTAGGTTTCGGAAAGGTGAAAAAACATATATTTAATACTTGCGCCGGGTATTTAATGTTCGGCTCCGCCCGAACTTAGACTTTTTTACTTGTTTAAAAGTGTTTTAAGTGTTTATCGCGACTGGGAATTTTTTTGTGGAAAAGTGTATTTATTATGGTGTGTGTATATCGTTTATTGAAAGAATTTAATTAATTGGAGTTTTAGAAGCAATTACGAAAACACCGCCCCAAGGCATTCTTGCCGGTTTAAGTGAAAATTAATGTTCTGTGTGGTTTGTTACTGACCGATAAAATTTTATAATTTTTAAGCAATGGAGTGTAGAAATGGCAGAAAATTTAACTTAAGTAAAATGAGCGCAGTTAATGGAATCAGTCGAGTTAGACGACGATGATGAAGATTTTAGTTAGTGATGATGAGTTGGAAGACCCGGATTACATGCCAGCAGAAATCTTTCCAGATGACGAACAAAATATTTCAGCATGCCTTCGGGAAAGGGACGATAGGTCTGATTTATTAGCTCAAACCTCCGAGTTTTCCATAAACATTAGCTCAATTGATGGTAGTATCTACTTCCACAGCAGTAAAACCAAAAAAAGAGCTCGATCTCTATCACCATCTGTTGAAATTGCTGGTCCTTCTGTCGTCCCTTCTTCTAGTGGTTTTACAGGAGAAAGTATGTATTTTTCACTGAAACTAAGGGTCTGATTATGCATACTTCGCATAACTTCGCACAACCATTTGTACCAGTGCACTAAAAGTGTGACTTAAGAAAATGTGAAGCAAAATCTAAACTCAACAGATCGCTAAGTTTTTAAAAGTTCTGCTAATTTCTGGGTAATGGAATACATACAAAATACATACAAGGTACATACGAAATTACAGTTTGAAGTTTATGCGAAGTTGGGCGAAGTTATGCGAAGTATGCATAATCAGACCATAAGATATTTTATTTAGAGATAAGACAAATATGATTTACAAATCTTGAAGCTATCTCGAAAAATTAAAGCGAATTTTCCAACACATTATGGCGAAAACAAAATTCGGTATTGAATGTGAATGAAATATCATTCCAAGGAAATTCTAGTTTACCAAGCGTCAAAGAACTTGAAACGCCAAAGCCAACTTTCTTTTACATTTTTTAAAGGGATTTTTTATAGGGATAAATTCGGTATTGAATGTGAATGAAATATCATTCCAAGGAAATTCTAGTTTACCACCAAGCGTCAAAGGACTTGAAACGCCAAAGCCAATTTTCTTTTACATTTTTTAAAGGGATATAGTTTCTTTAATTGCGGAAGAGACAAGTGGAGCGGCCTTCTCAAAAAATATCAACATCCAGTTCAAGATCAATAATGACGGAATCTACAAGTACATTGACATACTGCTTTACATGTATGTTTACCATTATCCCAATTTGGAAATTTATTGGGGAAAAAATGCTTTCACTCCGATTGAAAAGACGACGGCTGTATAACAGCCAACAGTGGACTTAGTGGATGATCTTATGGGGCGTTACCATATTCAAGTTAAAACTTTAAATCCAATGCCGAGACTTTTTTACCATTTTGTCGATAAGACTGGAAATAAAGTCATTGACGTTATTTCCTCATTCAAATGGAAATAGCGTCAACAATGCTTAAAGTATGTATGTCGATTCATAGAAAAAAATGTTGTTCTTACAATAAACATTGCCCCGTAAGTATTGTTTTTTAATAGATGACAAAGGTTATTGCCAAATCCTCAGTGTGGTGATATTAATCCACACACAATCATGAACTACCACCAATTTATTTTATTAAAAAAATTTAAATTGCGAATATGTAAAAACACTATGCGAAAAACTAAACGCAAAGCACAGCTGGAATACGAGAAATATTTGAAGAAATAGTGTAGAAATGATCCAGAACTTGCAAAAGATGTTTCGTTTCCAGAAAAAATAAAGCGAACACTATTAAATTGAAGAAACAGTCCATGTCCAAAAACCCCGGAGGAACACTGAAAGAATTCTGTGTTTTAAATTAGCATATTTTGAACGAATTCGGAATGTCTAAGGTGGTAAAGAGACCAACCTTTCTATAAGGAAACAATTATAGAAAAGGAATTTTCTTACACTGTATTCATGTTTCCGCCAACAATTTGTGACATCATTTAAAAGCAAGGCGAACGACGACACTATTTATTAGGTGGCACATTCAAGCCAATGTGCCAAAATGCGGGTATAAACAGTTATTGATTATTATTACGTTCCTGACTTCAAGAGCGTATTTTCAATTCAAAAAGGTTTTTTAAAACTTCAAATATAATATACAAATTAACATTAATATTAGATAATTAATTAAGAGACAATAGTTCGTGATTTTATACTGTAAGCAGATGTCACTCGAATGGCGAGTCATGCGGTTTTTCATGTCTTGACTTTTGCGATAGTCTAGGGTTTCCAACACCTCCCCTTTTTGGTTTGGTGCGTTAGGTGGGAACAAATCGTTCCACTGGTCGGCGTATACGCTGTATACGCTCCTTCAATGTAGGTGATGGTTCCTTCGGCGATGCTTGGGATTGAGTCTCACCAGAAACGAGTTCTCTTTGAGCTTCTGTCTCAGCATGAGTGCCGTCATATAGACCAAACGCATCGATCAACGTCTTGTTTGCATTTTCTTCTGCAGCTGCCGCTGACTCTGTGGTGTGAGTGCGCTTTCGTAACTGGTTTGCTTGTGCTCTTATGAGCTTTCCGTCGCTAAGCAGAACATTGTAAATAACATTTCCAACCCGCTCAATTACTTCGCCTGGTATCCATTTGAATTTGTTTTTGCCTTTGAACACGCTAGCATATACTTTGTCTTTGGGTTGGAACAATTTTTCCTTCGCGCCATGCGCTCTGTCGAATTGCCGTTTCATACTCTGTTGCTGCTGGTCGAGTTGACGATTAATAACCGGTTTTGGTTTCATCAAATCTAAGTTGGTGTGTATATTTTTCCCTAATAAAACTTCAGCTGGCGTTCTGTTGTTTTCGTTGTTTTTGTTGGGTGTTGAGCGGTAGCACTGTAGGAAAGTTTGTAGGATTTTGTGGGTAGTTCCCTCTCCGTTCAATTTAGTGAGAGCGCGCTTGAAGGTGTCAACAAATCGCTCTGCTTGCCCGTTCGACATTGGGTAGTACGGACTCGAACGCAGATGTTCGATGCCATTCCCTTCTAGGAACTGTTGAAATAACGCGCTAGTAAACTGCGTGCCGTTGTCGGACACTATTGTTCTCGGAGTTCCAAAGCGGGCAAATATCTCGGTCAAGATATCAATAGTTTGTTGTGCTGTTATGGATTTGGTCGGAACTATCTCTGGCCATTTTGAATACGCGTCTACGAGAACTAAGAAATATTCATTTTCGATCGGTCCCGCGTAGTCGATGTGTAGCCGTTCCCAGGCACATGAGGGTTTCGGCCATGGGCGAAGTGTCGTTTTATTTGGCATCTTTGCTGCGGATGCACAGTTACTGCAGTTTCGCACTAACTCTTCTATTTCTGAGTCTATGTGTGGCCAATAACATAACTTCTTGCAATTGCTTTGGTCCGCTCCATTCCCGGATGTCCCTTGTGAATTTGCTTGAGAATCCGTTTACGTAATATTGCCGGTATTACCACACGCTGTCCCAACATAATACACCCATCAATGATGCTAAGGTTGTCGCTTCGCAACCGGAATTGTTTTAATTCTACTCCGATATCTGCATTGTCTGCCCAGCCATGTTCAATGTAATCTAATAATTGCTTGAGAGTTTTATCTTTCTCTGTTTCATATTTTATCATGCTGTGCGTTACTGGTAGCTTGTCTATTGCATCTGATAGAATTTTCTTGATCTCGCCTTCAAACTTTACCGAGGCGATGACGTAGTCTTCCGACGCTTTGTTGCTTTTATTGATCAGGCGTGAAAGAACGTCAGCATAACCGAAACTATTCGTTGAGATAAAGCTTATCTCGAAATCGTATGCTAATAACTGCAGCGCCCATCTTTGTAGACGGTTAGCCTGATGTGCCGAAATACCCGTCTTTTTGCCAAAAATCGTGAGTAACGGCTTATGATCCGTGTGCAGTTTGAACCTTCTACCGAATATCATCTTGTGGAATTTGGTGACTGCGAATACCAGAGCGAGCCCTTCTTTTTCAATTTGGCTGTACCCCTTTTCCGCAGGTGTAAGAGATCGTGATGCGTGACAGACTGCCTTTATCGAACCATCAGGGCCTTCATGGAGAATACATGCACCAAGACCGTAGTTGGATGCGTCTGCAGCTACGATGATTTCTTTATTTGGGTCGTAGTGCGTTAATAGCAAATTTGAGCTGAGAATGTCCTTGAGGCTGTTAAAGCAGTTTCGCTGAATAGACGTCCATTGCCACTTTACATTAGCCTTTAAAAGTTCGTCTAATGGGCCTCTAAGCTGGCGCATTTTATTTATAAATTTGCCGTAGAAATTAATTGCACCCAGAAATGATCGCAATTCGGTAACGTTGGTTGGTTCTGGCATATCTTTGATGGCTGAAACGCGCTCCGGGTATGGTCGAAGTCCGTCCGGACTTATAATGTAGCCTAAGTATTTAACTTCGGTCACCGCAAATTTACATTTTGCGAATTTGATTTTGAATCCATAATCTTGGATTCTTCGCAAAACCTCGCGTAAATTACGATCATGCTCAAGTTCGTTTCTTCCCGAAACAAAAATGTCATCTATATATGCTGCTGCACAGTCCAGACCAGAGAGCATTTTATCCATTACCTGTTGGAAAATGGCTGGGAAGGTTTTAATACCGAATATCATTCGATTATATCGAAATAGGCCCAAATGCGTGTTTATCGTAAGTAACTCCTTTGACTTGTCATCTACTTCGATTTGAAGAAAGGCATCCGACAGATCAATGTGACTAAAAAACTTGGCATTTGCGAGCTTTGAAAATATGTCTTCTGGCAGAGGAAGAGGGTATTGGTATGCTTCGAGGGCAGCGTTTAGTCCGGTTGAAAAGTCGGCACAAATACGTATGCTGCCATTTGACTTTTTCGTGACCACTATTGGTGCAGCCCACTCAGAGTGGGATACTGGCGATATTACATTGATATCTTGTAGTCTTTGTAACTCCTCTTCGACAAGATGCTGAATAGCGTAAGCCACTGGTCGTTTTGGACGAAAAATTGGAGAACGCCCAGGCTCAACCACCAAATGCGCTTTCGCGTGCTTGCACAGGCCCAGTTTTTCTTCGAATACATCTGGAAAAGATTGCTTTAGAAGTAAAATGTTCTTATTTGTATTTGTAACTTCACTTCCCAATGGTTCTGCTTTCACATGGTTGCAGATTGCGTTGATGGACATGTTTTCGAGACCAAGAGCAGTGATCCAATCCAGTCCCAGCACGTTCAAATCCCGGACAGGTGTGACGAAACATGTAAGTTCCAATTCTTGCTGCTTGAATGTTACCTTACACTGAAACTGCAAAGTAAGCGGCAGCTTCCTTGTTGCGCTACGGGCTGTGTCCTTGACTTCGACTCCGTTTGACGTGTTTATCTTTTTATAATTTTGTTCTGATATAATTGTGATATCAGATGCGGTATCGAGTTGTAGGGTTAGCTTTGTGTTGTTAATGCTGATGTTTACAAATTTTCGCAGTGACGTATTGATTCGGTTGACAACACAAATGCTTTTTGATTGCGGCCGTGAGGCTTTGAATTTATTGTTGTGCTTTTGTTTTTTTCTTTGCACACTCTTCTTTGAGTGACAGTAGCCCTCCTTGTGACCCGTTTCTTTGCACTGTTCGCATTTATGTTTACTATATGAGCATTCACGTGAATAATGCATGCCGCCGCAAAACCAGCAAGGTGTTTTTGGTACCTGCTTAGCTTTTGCATTGCCAGTATGTAAACGTTTAACAACCACTTCGTTTTTGGGATTCTCAATTAATTTTGTATCTGTTTTTAAATTAATGAGGCGCTGGCACTCCTTAGATAACCCGTCGAGGGTGAGGGCGGTATCGGTATCCAATTTACTTAGCATTTTGGTTCGTATGTCAAAGTCTCCTTCAGACTTCAGGCCCATTACGAAAACTAAGCATTTAAATTGGTCCAATGTCAGCTCTTTGAGCTTGAAATTTTCGCAGTGTCTATTTACTGTTCCAGCGTACGTAACGAAATCGGTCGTATGCGGTTTTGTTAGTTGCAAACAATTGAACCTAATGTTAAACAATGATGTTTGTAGTCCAAAAAGCTGCTTCAGTTTTTCTACTGTCTCTTTAAATGTTAAATCGCGAGGATGTTTAGGCAATATATAATTGATATACTTATTGTGTACGACTGTGTTAAGTTTGCGCAAAAGTAGTCTGACTTTAGCTGCGTCATCTAATTTAGCAGCGTCGACGGTGAACAAATCTTCGTATCTGGCATACCACATGTCGAAAGTTAGGTTAGATTCAGGGTCAAAGCAGAATTCTGTGATGCTTGACGAAAGGGCTTCTATAGTGAATTCCTGGCCCTTTTCCTCTGGCTGTGAAATTCTTTGTGGAACAAGCTGCTTAATTAAATCCTGCATAAGTTGTGTGTCGCGCACATGTTGCTCTTTCATCTGACTAATCAACTTTTTTACGCCTTCATCCATTTTGAAGTTAAGTGTGACTTTTAGTGTGTGTGTTGAAAACCAATTTTCTCGTCGCCACTATTACGTTCCTGACTTCAAGAGCGTATTTTCAATTCAAAAAGGTTTATTAAAACTTCAAATATAATATACAAATTAACATTAATATTAGATAATTAATTAAGAGACAATAGTTCGTGATTTTATACTGTAAGCAGATGTCACTCGAATGGCGAGTCATGCGGTTTTTCATGTTTTGACTTTTGCGATAGTCTAGGGTTTCCAACAATTATTTAATATCGGAACCGAGATCATGTAAATTAATTGATTGCCTTTCACACACTTTTGAATCACAAATTATATGATTTTTTACTGCAGACAAGTTGTTGCCAAAACACAGCAGACATTTTCCAATCAGAGCTGCCAAATATCCTTAGTTATGAGGTGCCATATTGAGGATAAAAAAGTGCCAAAATGTGCCAAATAGAAAAATAAAAGTGCCAAACAAGGTGCCATTCCTTTTAATCATTCACATTTAGCAATAAGTTAAAAGTCATATTTTCAAAACAAAAGTGCAATGATAAAATATGATAAACCAGTTGAATAGCCTTTTTAAATTAGAAAATTTTATTTGAGAAAAAGAAGTACATGCAAAGGATTTCAAAAAAATGTATTGAAATGTTATTTTTTTACAAAAGTGCCATTGTGGGACTTTGTGCCAAATTGAAAAATAAAGTGCCACTTGAAATAAAATAGGTACAAAAATGGCACGGTTTGAGCCAAGTTGGCATCTCTGCTTCCAATAACTTACAAATATAAAAATGTGAAATATCGAGGGCTTGAATTCATTAATACCCTCTCTCTGCAACTTGCACAAAAGCTAATTTGTTATTTTAGAAACCATCTGGGACTTATTACTTGTCATTATATAAGGTAGCATTAATATCACCGATGACAGTTAAAGCTTAGGTGGATTTTTATATCAGAATCTCATCTTTGTGAAAAGTGTGCGAGGGCTTATATTCAATAATACCCTCTATTGAATATAAGCCCTCGATATTTAAAATATATAAGAATTGTATTTCAACGTATACAAAAAATAAATCTACCTGCGTTACAGCACGGCGGGAGACGGGGAAGGCATGGCCGAGGGTGGGGCCGCGGCCTAGCGTGACGTGGGGTGGCGCGCCTGTCGCGCGGTGTGGCGCGCGGACGCGGGCCGCCGCGGAGCTAAGCAAATTTAATGTTTGAAAAAGCAATAATGTCAATGGATTTTATTTCGCTTTTAAAAAGGTAATAATGCGAAATAAAGTCAATTTACCTTATTTCCATTGATCTTATTACCTGTCACCCGACAAATACATACATTTTGTATCGGCGACTGCATTCGGGAAAATTAAATGACTCAAATAAATCGGTGCAAGAAGAACAATTATTGAAATTGCCTGAGTTCCGTGAAAATATTGCTGCTGGTATTTTTGCTTCTACTACCAATGGTTCTGCTGGTCGTCCAAGCTCAGCACAAATGAAAAAGAATCTAAGTGTTGGGAAAAGAGCGGATCATCTAGTTGAAGATGTTCCCTTCGATTTGTATGATCATTTCCCAGTATGGCTTTCCAAGGGTGCTGACAAAAAAGGTGCAAGTTTTGTTTAACTTCAGAGACTTTTGCTTTTGCCCCATAGGTTAGGTTAGATTATCTCGGCTGCCCTAATCCTACAGGAAAAGGGGCACACTTAGGCCACCATGGGCCGGTGTTGTGGTGCCATAAAAGAGACTCTATATGTCCCTTCTCTTACCCTAGTAATGGAACCACTTCGTAGCTCTGATGAAGCGGACAAAGTCATAGACGCTGGCTGAATCCAGTTCGGCCATACATTTAAAAGAATAATGGAGGAACGAGCGTCGGCGAGCTCTCTCCAGAGCAGGACAGCGGCATAAGTAATGCTCCACGCTCTCGACTTCCTCCTCATCGCGGCAGCTACGATAGTAGTCGTTTGACTGCAAACCCATTCTAGTGGCGTGGATTCCCATCAAGCAATGCCAAGTTGAGAACTCCAATAACATGCCGCAGCAGTGGTCGCTCCAAGTGGAGGAGAGGGCGAGATCTACGCTTGTCAAGCTTAGGCCGGATATGTCTTGCTATCCTGCAGGTAGGCTCCGCAGACCATCTTATATTAGCCCGTCCGACAAAGTTATTCTCCAGCCAGAGCTTGCAAGAAGATAGCGGAATGCCCGCATTATGGGCTGTACGGATTGCAGACAACAAGGTTCCTTCCCTTGCTAGTTCATCCGCAGTTTCCCGGTATGTCTCTGTGGCCTGGAACCCATACAACATTAGTGACGTACACCTTGCCAGTTCATTAAGAGTACGTCTACATTCCATAACAACCTTCGACGTAGAATTGTCACTATTAAGTTCTTTAATAGCAGCTTGGCTGTCAGAAAATATTGTTACCGCCTTCAGATTAATTAGAGAATCGATCAACCAACTTGCAGCTTCATTTATTGCTGTTAGTTCAGCCTGAAAAACGCTGCATAGATCTGGCAGACGAAAACTGAGGCTAAGTGAGAGTTCTTGCGAGTATACCCCACTTCCTACCTTCAGATCCAACTTGGAGCCATCAGTGTAGATGGCTGTGGAGTCAGAATACGATATCAGGACCGAATCCTCCTCCCATTCTTCCCTTGAGGGGATCCTTGTCTGGAAATGATTCTTTAGTCCCGTTGACGGGACTGTGTAGTCCAGGCGCCTAAAGTCCTCTGGAGGATCTTCCAAAACTCTAGAGTGACCAAACCTCGTGTCACTCCATTTGATTAGTGCATTTAATCTAATAGCATTACAGCTTGGCTGTAGTTTACCATATAGGTCCACAGGTAGCAAGTGAAGCAAGGTCTCTAGGGCTTTAGTCGGCGTCGATGGTAACGCTCCCGTGATCATCATGCACGCCACCCTTTGGACCGCTGTTAATTTGTTTCTTATTGTAGATTTATCTACGGACGGCCACCAAACCGTTATGCCGTAGAATAGAATGGGACGCACAACCGCTGTGTACATCCAGTTCACAATGTGAGGCTTTTGCCCCATATCATATTTCATATTTTTCTTTAATACATTGTCTAAGTAAAGAAATACCACTTATCTGCCATTTTCTGCGGGAAATATTTTCACACTACATTAGCCGAATCTCTAAGCTTTCAACTGAACAAAGAATAATAATGCGATCTCTCCCGGGCATACAACGATACCTTAATATTCAACAAAAAATAAAAAAATACTCGTTGAAAAGCGCTATTTTCTTTACATTTAAATTGAACTTTTTCTTATCAAAATGATTAAAAGAGTTTAGTACTTAAATGCATTATTATCTTCTGTATGCGGATCCGTCACTACTTTTTAAGAACACAGTGCAGAAATCAAAATATTAACTTAAAACCGTCACGATCTTTCTAGAGAGCGAAAAATTATTTATAAGCAGCGTTATAATATTCCGTTTCCGGTCTACGGTAAGCGTTCGCTGTGCAAGTTAGAAAATGGAAGGGGGACCGGAAAATGTTATTTAGAATGTTCACTATCGAATGTGACTAATTTTTTAAGTTTTCTTCAAAATTTTGTCAAATTGGTTTATGGCCGCCTAAATCTTTCAAATACCCCTATGTACTCCGCTCCGAAGCCCTGGTCTGTACAAACAAGATTTTGACATGATAAAAGCGCGGGTAAAATAGTCATGGTCGACGAATTGAGAGAACTCGTTTACCTTTTTATCACGCGAGTAAATACTGCCAATGATATTTGTTAAGAAAAGTATATGAGAGTTGTGTATGAAGGACTAGAGTACTCGGTCATACTTTATGTATAGGGGAAATGCGATTTCGTGTTGTATACAAGCAATGTGCGGAGTGTAAAATTTTTTTGAATGGTAGATAAGGCAAATATTTATGTATGCATTAGGGCGGGTCAATTTTTATGGCATATTTTTGGAATATGCGCGTGTAGCATAGAAGGATTCTATGTGTAGGTTGGTTGGTTTAAGTGGATTGTCACTCAGGTGACAAGCAATTAGCAAGTTTGCCATTTTTGTTCCACAACTCGTGCAACCTAGAGCCATTTGGCGGGTTTAATAAATTTCAGTACGTCATACAGAGAGAGGCAGCTGCACTCTGAAACATTCTGCAGGAATGGTTTGCCGAGTGTCTTTAGCATCATCCTTGCGAGGGCTGGACACTCGCACANTGTTCCACAACTCGTGCAACCTAGAGCCATTTGGCGGGTTTAATAAATTTCAGTACGTCATACAGAGAGAGGCAGCTGCACTCTGAAACATTCTGCAGGAATGGTTTGCCGAGTGTCTTTAGCATCATCCTTGCGAGGGCTGGACACTCGCACAGCAAGTGTTCGACTGTCTCTTTTGAGCGCGGGTCATCGCAGCTGCGACAGAACCTATTGAAGGGCAGCCCTATCCTTTCGGCATGTACCCCAACGGGCCAGTGCTCTGTGCATCCTGCAGTAAGTTTGTAGGCATTTGTTGTGCTAATCCCTAAGAGAGCTTTGGTTTTGAGAGGGTCGTAGAACACCCAGAACTGCCGGGCAATTCTGTAGGATCCTGTGCAGTTCCACCTCTGCCTGGCCTTCGAATGATAAATTTCGGTAATTTTTGTCTTAATCTCCCTGAGCGAGGCGCCCATGTCCATCGCGTGGGACACATCCATTGCGGAGCCGCTCATTGCTAGTTCGTCCGCTGCCTCGTTTGCGTAGATGCCCCTATGTCCCGGGACCCATATTAGGGTAATTTCGTATTGATTAGAAATATATGCCAGCCCTCTCCTACATTCATCCACTGGCTGAGATCTAACAGAGTTAAAAGAGAGTGCCTGAATAGCCGCTTGGCTACCCGAGAGGATGTTCACTTGCGTTCTCGCGGGTACATTGTCTTTGATGAACCTTACTGCCTCCTTAATAGCAAACGTTTAGGCCTGGAAAACGCTTGCATATTCTGGTAGGCGAAAGGACAGTTTTAGGTTATAT